CACAGTGGTACAAAAGCCTGAAATCATGGCCAAAATCCCAAAAATCGAAGTTGTCGTCGAGGAGTTTTTCACTTACGGATCGGTTAGTTCAACGATGCGTTCGTGCGGCGGGAAAAACGAAATGACCCATACTTTCGAACCCGAACGACAATTGCGCTTCGAATTTCGAGTTTGTCGGGCAGTCGTTGCTCGCGAGCGCGACCGACGGTACGAAGCGGATAGTTTCGAGCGCGTATCTTTCTGTGGAAATGTTTTCTTTCGATCGTGTCAAATGGACATCGTTCCCGGTGATAAGTACGACATTTTGTACCGCTAACGTCTCGCGAATCGTTAACTGTTACGTTGGTAAATCGATAAATCGTAGATTCAAATGATAAGAGCGAACGGAACGCGTTTACCGTAAAGTTATAGTCGAAACTTTTGCGGCTTACGAGGGCCTGCTTTCGAACTTACCGGAGCCATAGTTCACAGTTTCGTCTAGCTGCGCTTAAAAGATTGGCCGCACCGCGTTGCACTTTTTTCGGTTGCAACCATTTTTGCGAGTCAACGTACGGGAAACTGTCTCGCGAGAGTATCCAAGACGGAACAACTTTCTACGAATCGTGCCAAATTGCTTGCACCGTTTCGAGATGTTGGAAAAAACGCTTTATCAGGCAACACGAGTCGACGCGAACAATGACGCGACACGAGCCGTGAAAAAATTATTTTCTGCTTCGAGATGCAAACGGAGGAACCGCACACCGGACGGAACAAAGATTGTTCTCAAAATTTGAAAAATGGCTGGCAGAATCGTTAGTTTTTCGAGCCCTCTCCGCCCGCGTTGGCGTTAAAATCAGAAATTTCAGCGGCCGTCCTTCGTTCAACAAAATTCTATGTCGCGTTACGAGTCGTTTCGAGCGGCCACGAGATCGATTACGAAAAATTCAAAACGTACACTCTCGATACGGCAAGAATACCTAACAAAATTTCATCTTCAACCTTTCGGCTACCGTAGGCCGATAAAACACAGCTCCGCGTATCATTCTTTCAACAACTCGTCGGCCATATTTGATCCGCCATTTTGTATTTGGAATTTTGAAATTCAGACTCGCGATTCTGCGACCACGAACACCCTTGCATACAAATTTTCAAATAAATCCGTCGCTGATTTCTTATTTCGACCATGATCTCGAGCTTTTATACCCCTGCTTTTGCCGTTCGAACGGTGGCAAACAAATGCCGCAAGAAAAAGGTGTGCGGAGTGCTCGGCGAATGGGCAGGACGGCAAGAAGAGCCCAAAGGAAGAGCGACCCGCGGGGGAGAAGGTGGTCTTCGGCAGGAGAAGCGAAAGCAGCAGTCGAAGGATATGCCGCGTTGGATCTAGTCAGGGTGACCGGAGTACCTCGCGCGAGAGAGACTCGGAGAAGAGGGGACTGCGCGCGCGAGAGAGCGAGAGAGAGCGAGAGAGAGAGAGAGAGAGAGAGAGAGGAGTGGGAGTGGTGGCGTCGGTGTAGTAGGAAGAGGGTGGACGAGTAGTCGCGAACGCATGCGCTCGCTCGCACGTTGGAAGGGGTGCTCTTTCGGCGGGAGAAAGACGGAGACAACGAGTGACGGCCGCGGAGGGTGTCGTAGGGGTTGCTAGACGAAGATCCGTCTAGAGAGAGAGAGAGAGAGAGAGAGAGGGAGAGAGAGGGAGAGGGAGAGAGCAAAGAAGAAGCGAGACCGCGAGAGGGATCGTCGCTAGACCGATAAAGACGCGAGCCGAGGCCGTGGAGCTAAACGGAGCTGGATTGAGCTGAACGGTAGTAGACCAAGAGAGAGAAAGAGAGAGAGAGAGAGAGAGAGAGAGAGAGGGGGGGAGGTGCCAGCGGGAGGAGGACAGAGCAGGCAAGGTCTGCCTTGTTTAGCCAGCTCGAGAGAGACTCCGACTCCGACTCCGACTCCGGTCTGTCTCCCACCCGGCAGCTCTCCTCTTGCTCGCTCGCGTTCTCTCTCTCCTACTCTCCTATGCTTCAGTGTTCGTTCGAACACGGCCCGGTACGGTTCTGTCGCCCCGGTGCGAGGCAAGGATCCTCTTCGTGATGGGAGCTCGCTGCTGCCGCGGTGGTGTCGGCGGCTGCCCCCGATAGCCGATCGCCTAGACGGTAGACGGTAGACAGCCAGTAGTGCCACGCCGATGTCGCTGGCCTCGACAGGGTGACACGCGCTCGTTCGTTCGTCCGTTCGCTCGTTCGCTCGCCGGTGTTCCTTTTCATGGTAGTGTTGTCTTCGGGATCGTCGTCGGGTGAGAGAAGAACACCTTATCCTCTGTAAACGTGCGTCGAGAACACCGAGTAAACCGTGTGTGCCGAGAGAGCGACAGAGAGAGAGAGAGAGAGAGAGAGAGAGAGAGAGAGAGAAAGAGAGAGAGAGAGAGAGAGAGAGAGAGAGAGAGAGAAAGTGCGTGCGCCGGGGTGGTTCGTAGAGGTGCGACAGTCGATGGGGAAGAAGCGGTGCCGCTGAAGGAGGATCCGCGAAGGAGCAGCAAGGCAAGCCCGCGATTCGGCTCGGCGCCGGCGAACGAGTGAGAAAAATGTCCCGCAACTACACGGTCCGTTGCGAGCCCGGGCTGGTCGTGCCGCTGTGGAGCCCGGTGGAGAATCTGTATCTGTCGGACGTGATAATCCGCGGCTCGGTGTACTTTCTGCTGCTGTTGTACCTGTTCATCGGCGTGTCGATCATCAGCGACCGGTTCATGGCGGCGATCGAGGTGATCACGTCGAAGGAGAAGGAGCTGGTGGTGCGCCGGCAGGGCAAGGAGCCGCAGATCGTGGTGGTCCGGGTGTGGAACGAGACGGTGGCGAACCTGACGCTGATGGCGCTCGGCAGCAGCGCGCCCGAGATCCTGCTGTCGATCATCGAGATCTGGGCGAAGAACTTCCAGGCGGGCGAGCTCGGGCCCGGCACCATCGTCGGCTCGGCCGCCTACAACCTGTTCGTGATCATCTCGCTGTGCGTGTTCGTGATCCCGAACGGCGAGACCCGGAAGATCAAGCATCTGCGGGTGTTCTTCGTCACCGCGACCTGGAGCATCTTCGCCTACGTCTGGCTCTATCTGATCTTAGCCGTGTCCAGCCCCGGCGTTCTCGAGGTTTGGGAGGGCGTGCTGACCTTCTCGTTCTTCCCGGCGACCGTGCTGACCGCCTACGTGGCCGACAGACGGCTGCTGATCTACAAGTACCTGCACAAGGGCTACCGGATGAACAAGCGGGGCGTGATCGTGCAGGCGGAGGCCGGCGACTCCGACGGCGGGGTGGAGCTCGAGATCAAGCCGCAGCAGGACGGTTTCCACAACATGATGGACGGCGACACGGCCGAGGCGAAGGAGTTCGAGCAGACACGCCGCGACTACATCAAGACCCTGAGGGCGTTGCGCAAGAAGTTCCCGACGCAGCCGCTCGAGCAGCTCGAGGTGATGGCCCACGAGGAGGTGCTCGGTAAGGGCCCGAAGAGCAGGGCGTTCTACAGGGTCCAGGCGACCAGGAAGATGGTCGGTGCCGGGAATCTCAGCAAGAAGATCAGCGAGCGGGCCCAGAGCGATCTCAGCGAGGTGAAGGCCGAGCTGCAGCGGCAGGAGGCCGAGAGCGTCGACATCGATAACGTGAACGCCATGAGGATCTTCTTCGAGCCGGGACACTACACCGTCATGGAGAACGTCGGCACCTTCGAGGTAGGCGTCACCAGGCTCGGCGGCGATCTGTCCAAGCCCTGCTCCGTCGACTATTGCACCGAGGACGGCTCCGCCGAGGCCGGCTCCGACTACATCAGCGCCAAGGGCACCCTCACCTTCGACCCCGGCGAGACCAAGAAGACCATCAAGCTGTCCGTCATCGACGACGAGCTCTTCGAAGAGGACGAACACTTCTACGTCAGGTGAGAGATCGTCGTCTCGACCGCTTCGCGCGCCTCGGCGACCGGAGACGAGGTTCGTCTGCGCGATTCGCAGGATTCGCAATTTTCTCTTCGTCGCCTCTAGTCCCTTCTTCGTCGCGGCCACCTTTTCTCTATCTATTAACCCTTAGCACTCCGAACCATTCTGGACGTTGGCTACCAGCTACTCGGCGCCACTTTTCGGCAGAAACGGGCATTTACAGACCCTCGTATTATTTGGTATGGTTTTGGAACTAGCTAACATATTATAATGATATTGGACTTGTATGAATTTGGCTGAAATCGAGAAATTTGCAAAAAAATCAATAATTTATTTTTTATAATTTTCTTATTCTTTGTTTTATAATTTTCTTTTGTCGTTGTAATCGCTATCTATGCGAACTCCTTCTCTCGTCGCCTTGTTGCTTGGACGATATCACTGACGCTGCTATCGAAACGATAGACTGACTGTAGAAGAAAACCTACAGTTAGTCTTCCTAACATATCTGTATAAACGTCTATCCGGAGCTCATCTTCGCTGCTACTTGTGTCATGAGACTCGTTCGTGTTTCAACGTTTTACCATTGTTCTAATAAAAAATACGAATAAATACATAGGTTGAAAATTTCTAATTGTTATTACCAACTCGCAAGATGATATTTACCAAAAAAACTTTTACCAAACAATTTATTTACCAAGAGAAGAATCACTTTTCCGATTTTCTCACTCGTTAGATCTATCTATACCGCTCGACGCTTCGAACCAGACCGAGTTCAGCTTTGAAAATCTTTTCCTCCAGATTTTACGATTATAAATCTCACTGTACAGTGCGTGTTATGTTCGCATACCGATCTTTCTTCTACGAACTTGCCTCATCGCTCTTTTCAAGTGGCGCCTTCGAAGTG